TTTGTATCATTTTGACTTGCGTCTACTCAAAATGTCTATGATGCTCTAGCAAAAACACATTATATATTGTGGCGGAATCGTATGCGTAAAGGTGTAAACTATATGAAAATTAAAATTTATATTTGATCGTAGTCTTATCCGCGTTCAATTTGACTTTTAAACTCAAATAATTATTGTATACTACAAACAGTAATGAATAGTAACAGCCGATTTTGTTAAATACAGTATTAACAGATTGAAACTAATACAATTGTGAAAACTTTTTCAAAATCAAACATGCTCCTTAACTAATTAGTATTCACTGCCACGACACTATTTTTTTTTAATTACGACCACATTATTGGATTGGCTTATAGAATGATGTATCTTTTATTTTATTATCTGTAGTGTGCGGTACTTTCACAGATGAAACCTGAAGTCTGTTCAATCACTATGTTTAAATTATTAAATGTATATAAACAAGTATTCCTATCCAAACGAAATACAAGCAAATGAAAATTTTGTTAATATTTATTTGTCAGTTTTGACAGCATTTCTTTTTACAATATGATAACCGTAATTCAATATTAATTTTTTTTATAGCATAAGAGTGACGAACGAGCACACAGTCCATCTGATGGTAAGTGGTTGCTGAGGCCTATAGAAATGTACATTTCTATCCTCGATTACGAATAAAAATGCAGATACGTTATCACTCCTGAGGACTAAGATGGAATGCCTCATTTCCAGTAAAAAGGGTCTCCGGTACTCTACACTCACCATATGAAACACAGCAGCGTTAAGCTGCTATTTTACGCTGGTATTCTGTGAGAGCGTGGTCCTTACCCGGTCGAGCCGACCCATGCGTGCTACAACTATATCTACTACTAATATAGCTGCAGCATGGCTCTACCACGTAAATTAAATTATTATGATTTAATAATTTAAATTATTAACTCCGCTCTTTCTTTACCTACTTTTTAGTCTTGTTTAGTCTATTTTTCTGCTAATGAAAAGCAATAAATTAAAAGTAACTACATATCTTGTATCCGTAAAAAATGTCGTAACAGTTTCATATAGGTAGGTATGTGTAGTTTAAAATTTGTATACCAAATGTCTTAAAGTAAATTGCTTTAAAATCGTTTTAAAGTTCAATTGACATGTTTTATTTTTAAGCTAACATAATCCGTTCAATATTCTACATTAGAAAATGTAATTACCTATCTAAGCAAAATAAATTATTTTGAAACATCGAATTTTTATTACCTTATCTTCTATTCCTATAATACCCGTGAGAGTGAGCTCATGAACACTACACTCACCCTAATTAGCAAGCAGCCCGCAACAATAGAAAGTTAATTACTTATGTTTAAGAAAAAGAAACTGTCCATTTCGAATGAGACATAAAAATAGTTAACAAAAATGACCGTTGAAACAATGCGCCTTTCCAGGAGACGGCAACTATCCTCTGCAGTAAAATTAACAATTCTAAGAATTGCGTCTTCTACCTGGGGTATTAGTACATACTGCAACAAACATCGTCGAAGTAACACAACGGCGTTAGTTCACTTGAATTTATGATTATATAACATCTTCTTCCAAGTTCCCAGTTAGCCTCTACAAATGTATTCCTCTTCTATTGTCATCTATCAGCCATCACTTCATCACACATTCCTTTACCTATTACGTACATCATCCCTCACTGCTCCAACCATCTTTTCTTAGGCATTCGACAAACCGACTTGCTCTTCATAAATACGTAAAGTTAAAGAAATTAATATGTTAACAGAAAGTTAGAATTAAATAATATAAAATATTGCTAGCTTTTCTACCGACTTCAAAAATGAGCCGGTACTCAATTCGACTGTATGTTTTTTTATGTGTGTTACCTCATAACTTTTTACTGGGTGAATCGCTTTCGATGATTCTTTTTTTATTTTAAAGCTGGTATTTCACATGTGGTTCCAAATAAATTTAATCAAGGTCTGATCAATAGTTTTTGAGTTATTCTTAATAATTTATATTGAAGTCGGTTGTACAAAATTTTAAATTTTAAATTATATTATATATAATTATGCTTATATACTGGACAATAATCACACAGTTCACCTCATTGTATATGAATGCCTCGGGTCATAATATAGAGACCTGTATCTATTCTCGATTAAAAATCCAAATGTAGATGTGGTGTTAAACCACCGGGGTTAACCAAGTGGACTCTTTACTATTTTTCAAGCTAACAGAAAACTATGTAATGAATGAGTATGATATTTCCAACGTTTTTTCACGTGAAAATAACGTGATTTAATACTGATGTCATTAAATGTTCTAATTTTAATTAACGTCAAAGATTGTATAATCTCAACATGACAAACCCCGCTCAAGACTATGTTACGATGCTAGATCATCATTAAAAGATCTCCAGTTTTAGTCACTCTCCATTCAAAACAAAGCAGCATTATTCTGCTATTATACGCTAGTAATAATGCTACAGTGTGGCTCTATAACACATATAAATAATAGTTATAATGTGTAATAAATCTAACAAACTTTTTTACTGACTACAGTATATAAAATCAAAAAATAATATGAGAGTTGTTTACAGAACAATATACAACATTTTCTCCAAGTGTCAACCGCAACCAGGAAAAACAATGTTCTGTTTACGATCTGTTGATTATGATATTTATTTTAGTTAAAATTTTTATAACATTAAATATACAATATTTAAACCATACTAAAATTCTACTCCCCGCTGTATAGTGCCTATAACGCTGGCTACGTTTCATCGCTATATTTACCTAATTATACGCATTTTCTTCTTTTTTATCGGCCCTCAAAATGCACTGCTGGACATGGGACTCTCTCGTTGTAAGGGGAACATACTTGTCAATTTTACTTATGATTTACATGTTAAAGCCATGTTAGAGCCATATTATAATGGTTGCGGCACAAATGGGTCGTTTCGACCAGGGAAGAACCACGCTTTCACTGAATATCAAGGTAATGTAACTGTTTTATGCTGCTGCGTTTCTTATGGTGAGCAAAAGGAATCATAGACCCTTTGTACTTGCTGTAAAAGGGTAGATTATCTTAGTCCTCGGGGGTTTACATGTTGATTTTTAGTCGGGTATATATGATAGGCCACAGCATCCACTTACCATCAGGTGAACTGTGTGCTCGTTTGTCGACCTTCGTTGTCATTTTTTCATTCTAGAACAAAGGTGTATAAGATTTGTTTTTAAATATTTTTTTTAATGAAATGAAACTATGATGAAATATTTGTTCCAGTGTATAAAATTTTTATTATTGGGATAATCTCAATAAGTAAATAAACACATTTACATCCATCTAATTGTTTTATTGCAGTGCCTACCGTTACGGTAATCTATGCGGATGTAATGTTAACATTAAGGATAATTAGAATAAACCGTTATGTCAACGTTTATGGGAAACACACCGTTAGAATTATTACTAGATAATTTGAGGCATAAACAATATAAATTTCTAAATGATAATGTTATTAGACGAAAATCAACGCGTATTTTAGTTATTTTGTAAATGGCTAAACTTGATCATACCGACAACCGATTTGGGAAAAACGTTCTCGATCATTGTGGTGGTAGGTTAAGTGTAATGCAGCTCATCACTACATGGAGTAGGTCCTATCATGGTAAATCATGCAGGAAGTCGATGGATGCATGGTTCAGGACCGTGTTTGTATGGCGGCCTATGTTTAGTAGTGGACTTATGAAGGGCTGTAACAACATATGGTGATGACCATTTGTATCAATCAGTTATTTTTGTGTGTAAATTCTTAACTAGAACGATATCAAAGGCAAATTTCTATTATCGAATAGGGATATAATCAACAATTGTAATTTCATTAAATTACATATAAGTATAATCATATATTTTTATAATGTTAGAGAGTTTAAAAGTTTCGTATTTACGATTTAAAATATAAGTAACAAATTTACCATGGATATTTTTTGTAATTTTTTTCCATTCAACTTTATCCACATCTTACTGTTTACTACATTCTGTTTTTAATATCGTTCACAAAATTAGCTACAACTATAATTTATTCATTTTATTAGTTAATATATATCTTCTTAAAAGAAATAACGAAAATGATACATAAAATACATTGCTTTTTCGTTTTATGCCATATAACGTTAGAAGAAACAAGAGTGGATAATGTTCAATTACTTCGAAATATTATAATATAAAGAAATGATTTATAAAATTTAAAATTGGACTGTCGGCAGTTGTTAGATTATGATAAAAAAAGACAAAGTTGCCCTTATAAATCAATATGTTTGATAATTCTAAAATTCCTTAGATACAAGCGTTTGTTTTATAGGCATGGTGGATACACTGTCACACGGGCCTCGAACTTTACATATACAGCTGAACAAACGCAGTTGTTTGGACTCGTGTAAGAATGAATAACTATATGAGAAAAAAACTTTCATGATGATATTTAAAACAAAATTGTAAGGGAATATGCTTATCACGATTATTAACTGTAATAATAAAATTCGTGTAAATTTGTTTTAGAGAAGACATTTACAAATATAGTGCCGAATAGAAAATGTAGAAAGAGTGTGTATTGTTTACATTTTAAGCTAAGGTTGAGAAGGTGCAACCACCGTCGGCAAACAAAATTGTGATTTGCATGAGGAGGCGAACGCAACGCGAGGCGAGCACTCGCCTCGCTCGCCACGCGATTAAAAATGCAGGCTCCGGCGGGTGGGAGCGGCGGGCGGGCGGGGCCATGCGGCTCGCCCATTGGCGCACCTCCGGCGGGCGGTGCCGCGCGCGGGGGCAAGCGCGGCTCGCAGTCGCCACCGCCCGGCGCTCCAGCTCCTCACAACGCACGTAGCCTTCGCGCCGTACGGTCTTGCGACACGTTACCCGACGCGCACCGCCGCGAGTCCATGTGAGCGACCGACAGCTCTCTCGTTGTGTACGGTGAACGAAGGATCGGCAAACTGTACGCGCCTCAGGAAGACGACATGTTGACGATGGAGACGGATCTCAAAGGCGGCAGCCTACATGCCACAGTGCCGCCGCATCACGCGCTTCAGCACGGCTACGGGTCGCTGGGCGCGCTCGGCGGCATGATGGCGCTGCCCCAACAGCAGTCGCTTGGACAACATCAGCCGTTGCAGCACCAACATCACCAGCCGTTGCCCCAACATCACCCGCAGCCTCAACAACAGCACCATCAACCACCAAATAATAACAACAACAATAACAGCAAGAACTCTAACGCGGACCGTGTCAAGCGTCCGATGAACGCGTTTATGGTGTGGTCGCGAGGGCAACGCAGGAAGATGGCCTCTGACAATCCGAAAATGCACAATTCCGAAATATCTAAACGTCTCGGTGCACAATGGAAAGATCTCTCTGAATCAGAGAAGCGACCGTTCATCGACGAGGCGAAGAGACTTCGCGCTGTTCATATGAAGGAACATCCTGATTACAAATATAGACCACGGAGGAAGACGAAGACATTAGCTAAGAAGCAGGAGAAATACCCACTCGGTGGCGGTGCACTGTTAGGTGCAGGTGATACGCAACGAGCGGCTGCACCGGCGGCACAACAGCCACGCGATGTATATCAAATGACACCAAACGGATACATGCCCAACGGATACATGATGCATGATCCTAGTGCTTACCAGCAGCAAGCTTACGGATACCCGCGTTACGACGTGTCACAAATGCAGCAAGGTGGTTATGGTGGCGGATATGGTTATGGCGGAGGACAGAGTTCACCATATCTACCCCAGCCGCCGTCACCATCTGCTTACGGACTTGGCCCCGGCTCACCGGGCGGGTACGCATTGCCGCCATCGTGTGCATCGCATTCCCCAAGTGGTTCATCTGCAAAATCTGAGCCGGTGTCGCCTGGCCCACCGGGCTTGAAACGCGAGTTTGTACCACACGAACCTCCAGCGCAGCTAAAACGTGAATATGCGCCGCACGCTCACGCGCATGAACAGCTCGCTATGAAGCGTGAATACGGGCAACAGGACTTGAGTCACATCATCAACATGTACCATGTGCCCGACGAGCAGCGATACGCGGCCGCCGGTGAGCGCGCGATGCCTCTCATCTGAGAATCGCCTTTCGCGTGCGACATCGACATCCCGCCGCTATGAGCTCGCCGTGTCGCCGCGCCTCAAGTTGCCTCGTGTTGCCCTCAGTGACTTTGTTGCGAATAGTCTCGTTAAGACAGTGATCGTTATCTCCCTGCCGTACATACTCCTAGGTATGTCCATTTATTTGTTTTATAACGTACCGATGTTAGTGTTACGAGAACTGTTGACTTTATCGTGTTCCCGGCTCACTGCTAAAGGCCGAAGTTCAATTAAATGTTGTTGATCATTATCTTGTATTATATTACAATTATTGTATTTTTTCATGGTTTAAGTTAAATATTCTAAGTTATGTTGTGCGGACGGACGTGTGGAACTTGCGTGGAATGTGATTTTGAGCGACAGACGATGTAGTGATCGAGGTAATATGAATACCAAAAAAATTTGAACAATATGTAAATATAGAGTTAATGGCTAGATTCCAAGTTAGAGTTAGCAGGTAAAGAGTAGGTAGATAGTGATAAGTTGTGCCACGACGCCACACTCGTACGCCCGTCGTGCAATGTACAAAATATTTGTTATAAAAAACGAAACGTTATAAAGCCTCGAAAGACTTAAATATTGTAATACGAAAATGTACAGTGAGTGTTATATAGTCAGTGGACACAAAAGTATATTGAAGAAAGAGATGAAGTTATCAATAAACAACGCGTTAAAATTGTACCTGCTTTTTTGTTCCAAAACCCTTACACCACCTAGACTAGTCATTCAATTATTTTCTAAAACATTATATATCGATATTTTTATATACATATATTTGCACAACTATAACAACTAGAACGAACATCAAGAATGGTATTTAATTTATTCCAAGTTACCCTCACAAATTTTACTAATACTTTTAAAAATATACTTTATAGAATATAGAACACATTTAATATGAAACACATTATGTATTATATCATATCTTACATTCAGCTCATTATTTCAGCTACGAATACAACACATTTAAACATCGTAGAAAAGACATCAACGGGCGCGATAAAAATAACTTTAAATCAAATCTAAAGATACATTTTTTTTATCATATAGCAAAATTATGCTTTTTTGAATAAAGCAGAAACTCGATTATCTCTGTTAATATATTATAAAGTTTAAATAGTTCATTTTTTTCTATACTATTAAAATCATCCCCACAGTATTTTCATCAATATAATTATGAAAACAACCATTAAAGCAACTTTATAAAATAATAACTTGAACAAATAATGGTGAATCTATATTTGATTATATAAACACTTATAAATTTAATTATATTTCCCAAATTACTCATTTATATAAAAAAAACCAAAAGTTTATATTAAAAGCAATGCATTAATAAATTTATCTTAATATCATATTCGAACTTATTTCAAACTTCTTTGTTCAAAAACTTAGAAGTCATAGTCAAAATGGTAGTAAAAGTTAAAATGGTTTTGTCGTACACGAATTTCCAGAGTCCAAGTCAATTGCGTCGGAGAAAGTCGAATTTCAATCAATTGCTGTCAACACGCAAGGGGTGAGTCGGGATTTATCAAATCCCCGCACGTCGCTGATGGAACTCGGGTACTTTTTCGTCCCTCGAGACAGAACTAACTTAATCCTGGTAGAAATGTACGCCCCAGTGTTTAAGCGGTATTAATTTAAACTCCGTTCACACTTAGCCCTTGTGGGGAGCTTACTGACTTATTTCATTACGTTGCATGTGGTCGATAATAATCACATAAATTACTTTACGTAACATTAAAAATCTATTATGTGTTACAAATAAAAAAAAATGCATATTGAGACTATTTACAAGTGTCAAATACCTACATACGTAATGAATTTTTGCATGATTTAACAATAAACACATATATTAACAATATTTTAAAGCCACTTCTAAGAATTAATTCATCTTATTCAGTGAATTCTTGAAATTAAGACATTACATTTCTTTCTAGGGCAAAACACATGTTTCTATAACAGCCCCCCGTCGAATTAGCAAGCTATTCTCATTTAAAAAATAATTGTGATAAAGTCTAAACCAAATCTACTTCTTGATTAAGTACAGTGTTTCACCGAAATAATTTAAATAATTAGTGTAAGAAATATTTTAGTTATTAATTAATTTCATCATAATTATTTCAACCCTTTGCAACTCCAATGCTGAACATTGGTATCCCCCACCCTCAAAGAATACCACAAAACACCGGCGCTATATGTTTGCTCATAATATAAGTACTTTAAACCAAAAAATTTAAAACTGCAAATTCGCCATCCTGTGACTCTATTAAAAACTTTATCAATACTACTATTTTCTATTTTATAGAACGTCATCTACAATAAATATAACATTAAACATACTTTTACAAATCTTATTTAAAAAAAAGACCTAAATTTGTTTTTAATATTAATTAATTAAACGATTATACAAATGGTACATAGGAAACAGAGACAATATTTTGATTTTAAGTCTGGTAATACCTACAACAACCCATGTGCGAAAAAAGAAGTAAATATAACTTTAAAATTTTCGCAATAAAAATGTAGGTAGCTGTTAAACAAGAATTTTTCATTGGTCAATTGTTGCATAATTCAATTTAATTGATTGGTTGCTTTGCCGGCTGGGTAAAAGTAGTTCTACTTTTCGTAATAATAGTCCGTATAAAATTCTACGGAATTTTGATTATGTCTTAAAAATGTTTATACATTATTTATTATATAATGAAAATTCCCTTCGCAAACACTAAAATATTTCGTATAATATAATTGGAAATCAGATTCAATTGAAATTTGGTATTCGAGTCATAAATAAATTAATAATGCGAACATAAATTCCGGATGTTAGCGCGGACTCGCGTTTCTCACCCCACCGTTCCGCGGCGTAACTCAGCGGTCGCGACCCGGGAGTCGAACGCGCGGTCCTAGGGTGGGCAATCACGTCGTTCCCACGGGGCCGTTCCATTGTTTTCTCTCACGGTTTGCGACATGTCATTGCGACGATTGTTACGACAAGCTCTACTTTATAATCAAATTGTTGGAGGAATTTTTCTAATATTAAATACTTATGTAGCAATATGATTTCTTTTACCTATATTACGTTATTAGTCAACCGACATCAAAGATATACCGTGCTTCGAGGGTTGTTTGAACATTTAGTCGATGCGACTATAACAATTATTGCATAAAAACAATAATATGAATGACTACAATCACTAACTCCATGATCATTACCGTGTTCATATAGCTAACCTGCATAAATATTTAAAAAATTCACTAATGAGCCCTACCCAATATAACGAATCACGAGTAATGTCATCTTGAGCCACTATAAACAAAATAATTGAATCTTTGCCATCCTCAGATTAAAAATCTGAGTTTAACACTTCATACATACATACATACATATAATCACGCCTCTTTCCCGTAGGGGTAGGCAGAGACCAGTTCTTTCCACTTGCTACGATCCTTACATACTTGTTTTGCTTCGTCCACTTTCATTATTCCCTTCATACATGCTCTACGGTTTAGGGTACTCTTGACCTGACCTTTTTTCAAGACGTCCCTGATTTGGTCTAGAAATGTCCGCCTAGGTCTACCCCTTCCAACACTTTCATTCACACTCGCCTTATACACTTTTTTCGTCAATCGTTCTTCATTCATTCTCTCGACATGGCCAAACCATCTCAGCATACCTTTCTCAATTTTTGTCACTACATCTTCTTTCAGACCACAACGTTTCCTTACCTCACTATTTCTTAGCCTGTCACTCAGTTTAACTCCTATCATACTTCTTAATGCTCTCATCTCAACTGCATTTATTCTGCTTTCATGTTTCTTCTGCCATACCCAACTTTCACTTCCGTACATGAGTGTCGGAACCAACACCCCCTCATGCACAGCCAAACGAGCCTTGTTAGACACCTTCCGACTGCTCATAAAGGAGTGCAAAGCTCCATTCACCATGTTTCCTGCATTCACTCTTCTTTCGATATCACTCTCACACTTTCCATCTCTTGTAAACTTTGAACCCAGATACACAAACTCTTTCACCTGTTCAATTTGTTCATCTTCAATCACGATATTGCAGTCTGTCACTGCCTCATCTTTTTCAAACACCATCACTTTCGTCTTCCTTACATTCATCTTCATTCCCTTTCTAACAAAAGCTCCACTCATAGCAGTTACCATCTCCTGCAACTCCTCGGCCGAAGACGCAAGTAATACTTGGTCATCAGCATAGAGAAAACATTTGACGAGTAACTCATTCATTCTCAACCCACTTTCACACTTCATTAAATATATATACAGTTTGACGAGCTCAACACGAAGACCCACGAGCCCATCTGATGATATGTGGCTGCTACAAGCCAAGAAACCTGGCAACCAAGTCTAAAATTTTATTTTATTTAAGAAACAAATGAGTTGAATTAACTTGACCCTTTTAACCTTCAAACACAGCAGTGGATGCACTACTGTTTGGCGATTAGTAATAGGTACAAAATTGGTGATAAATACAGACAAAGTCTTAGACAAGTAAGAAACCTAAAAAAAAGTTATATGTTCTAATTAACACTCCTGCAGGGAACCACTTGCAGACAAAGTTCTACATCATACATAATATGGACACGAAAATATTTAATGACCTAGTGAACTAAATTAATTTATCAACGTACCTCATCACATAGTCTTTTGAATATAGGCCTTTTCTATCCTGCCACAAGACATAGTTCTTTTACACCTAATGCAAACTGGTTTGTAACAAATTTTGAAACAATATAGATCTTTACCAAATATTTCAGATTTTCTGTTTGCATATGCTTCCGTTGCAATTCTTGACCCATAGTTTTTTATGTTGTGACGCAAGCTAATTTCTTAAACTCCCAGACATCGGAACAAAACAAACAGCGGTGCAAACAAACTAAACTTGTCACGTAATTCTTTCGTCAAACATACGTTATATTTGTTCTTGGGATTGATACCCGCCCGCCCCTAGTGTT